AACACCAAATCAAAAATGTCAATCCAAAATTAAATAAAAAGAGATAAACCAAATCAAAACACTACTAAAGCTCAAATCGTCATCACTGGAGCCGTAGTCGTCATCACCGGAGCCGTAGTCGTCATCACCGGAGCTCTAATCATTATCACCGAAGCTTGAATCATCATCATTGCCCGAGCTCCTTACGTTTTCTTAGAGGAAGTCATGAATAGTCTTCGTCTCACTCATTCTCTCGTTTTTTCAAGGAAAACAAAAAATAAAGAAAAAAATGTGGATCCTTGTAATCCTGCTGGGCCTGTTTCAGTCCATCTCGCGGGGTCTGTTTCAGCCCATCCCGCAAAAGACCCAGTTCCACAAAACCCATCCTGTGAAGCCTGCAAATTTGCGAGTCTAGAAAACTTCATCCTAATACCATCCCGCGACAGTTCTTTACGGGCTAGACCTACGGTCCAGATCCATGTCTGCCATCTGTAGACTAGACTTGAAACCACTTAACCTGCAATTTCTGCAAGTAATAGAAAGAATGATGTTATTGTGTGTGTTAAATGGATTGGATCATATTTAATGGGCTTTGAAAGCAGGCTTTATGTTTTTTTTTTTCAAGAAAGCAGGCTTTATGTTCTCCATCCGAATTTAGCAAGGAATGGATCCCAATGACAATGATATGTGGTATATTCAGATTGGTTAATCACCTTATTTTACAGATTGGTTTAGTCACTCATCCGAATTAAAGAACTATCAAAGCAATATTTTTTTTGTAGGGTGATGTCTTAAAAAGTCTAAATTTAAAGTTTTCATCAGAATAGTAGAGTTTTCTTAAATTTAGGGTCTGAGTGATCAACACTCATAACAACTGCGCTACGGTCCTATGAACACAGAGATACATAAATATATTTTTTTTTGTTATTATTAACTACTGTGCGGTGTAATGCGGTTTGTAAACATTTGAAGCCTTATAAGAAAATACCACAGTTGTTGTAGAATGCACGTGTGACTGAGGCACATCATTACGCACGTGGTGAACTTCTAGCAAAATCATCATAGAAACATAAGGGCCGAGTACAGTATATGTGTGTCTCACTCACACAAACAAAATTGCAAAGGGTTTGAGTTAGGTTACTTTGGCTTTGGTTCAAAGCAAAAGGATTCACATATTGAAGTAAACTAAAGCCAAATGGAGTCGTAATAGAGTTTACAACATTTGCCAAAAATATATATATATATATATGCTCTATATTCATGTACAAGATGATGTAAATAAAATGAATTGGTAATGGTTGTTGGTACCGTATATACTGTGTGTGTGTTGTGAGGAGATTACTTAGACTTTACTTTTCTCAAAGAGAAAGCTTCATGCATCATTTTGAGTTGATCATACCTGTCCTTTTATTTTCCTTTACTTTCTCAAGTGGAAAATATATGTTTATGTTTCTCTTAACGAACAAGGATGCTTCACCCTCAACATGCGGTGGACGCATTGATTGTTACAGAAACGAAAGACAAGTCTAGTCATAAAGTTGTGATTAGCCGAATTTACCAAGAAAGTCACGATTTGAATCTCAGTGATACTTTAAACCACAAAATATTTATCATGCAAATACATCAATCCATATTCCATTAATCGAATTTTGTTTAGTTACTCTACTCTAACTTTCTATACCCTTATTTTGATAACGTGAAGGATGCTGCAACATGGTTTTACTGGAACATGCATGAAACATAAAGTTCACTTCTTATCCTATTTTTGAATAAAAAGCTATGTTTAGGAAGCGAACAAGTTAATTATAAAAATCATTTTAATCCATGATCCGGAAATATATTAAACAATAAAATAGAGCATAGACTTTGGTGTATACAAGTAGGAAACATGCGGACAGTGAAAATGAAATGAAGTATGCTTCTGAAAGTGTTGAAGTATAAATGTAATTATTATTAAGAAGGTTCTTCTATAGTCCCTTTCTTTAGGTGAGGATTGAGACAATCTTTAGAATCTTTGAATCCACTCTTCTCTCCAAACTCTACTTTCCTACAACAACAACTTCAAAATAGATTAGTTAGGCGAATTAGATTACATTTTAATGTCATTAAGCAACTTAATATACTTAAGAATATATATTCTTCATCTGAAAGGCTTTGGAAACCAGTTCAAGATAAATCCACCTCACCAAACTATTAATCACAACTAATTAACATTAACAATAACAATTTCATTTGTTCAAATTATCACTTATTACCTAATCCTTTATTGGCTGCTTTTATATTTCCATCGATCTTTCTCCCTCTCTCTCACAAACATACTGACATTTTATAGAGCCTTTGAAGATATTGTTTTTGGTTCATTTCTTTTAGTCATTCTTTTAAATCAGATGCACCCCTGGAGAAGAAAGTTTCCATTGTTCGAAACAGGATTGACAATGAAACAGAGGAAGAACAGTAATCTCTCAATCTTCGTCGTGGTCTTCTCTGTCTTCCTCTTCGGTATCTTCATGTACAACGAAGACGTCAAATCCATCGCCGAGTTCCCTTTCTCCACCTCAAAACCTGGCGACGTCCANTTTTAAATCAGATGCACCCCTGGAGAAGAAAGTTTCCATTGTTCGAAACAGGATTGACAATGAAACAGAGGAAGAACAGTAATCTCTCAATCTTCGTCGTGGTCTTCTCTGTCTTCCTCTTCGGTATCTTCATGTACAACGAAGACGTCAAATCCATCGCCGAGTTCCCTTTCTCCACCTCAAAACCTGGCGACGTCCAAGAGAGCCAAGAGGAGCCTAAACCCATCACAGAGGTCACTGCACTACCAGTTCAAGAACCGATCAAGAACTCAGACCCAGTTCCTGATTCCGCGGGAAACGCAGACCCAGTTCAGGACTCGCTCAAAAGTCCAGAACTTGATCATGATTCAGTGAGAGAAACAGAGGAAGAGAAGAAGATTGAGCTGTTTGCTACGACGGAGGAAGAAGACGACGTGGAACTGCCGCCGGAGGAGTGCGACTTGTTCACCGGAGAATGGGTGTTCGATAACGAGACGCATCCTTTGTATAGAGAGGATCAGTGTGAGTTCTTGACGGCGCAAGTGACGTGCATGAGAAACGGGAGAAAAGATTCTCTGTATCAGAATTGGAGATGGCAACCCAGAGATTGTTCTTTACCAAAGTAAACCGGAAATGTTCTGTTTTTACAATCGGTTAATTGGATTGGTTTAGTTTCGGTTTAGTCTAATTTGTCTCGGTTTTGTGAAGGTTCAAAGCGAAACTGCTGCTGGAGAAACTACGAAACAAGAGAATGATGTTCGTTGGAGATTCTCTTAACCGGAATCAATGGGAATCAATGGTTTGCTTGGTTCAATCAGTGGTTCCTCCTGGTCGAAAAAGCTTGAACAAAACCGGTTCTCTCTCTGTCTTTAGAATCGAGGTAATTAACAAACTTGCACTAATTAGTAATTTTTTAATAGGATTATGAGAGTAGTTAGTAATTAATTATTGTTTAATGTAAAAAGGATTATAATGCAACGGTGGAGTTTTATTGGGCGCCATTTTTGGTGGAATCAAATTCCGATGATCCAAACATGCATAGTATACTTAACCGTATAATAATGCCCGAGTCTATAGAGAAGCATGGAGTCAACTGGAAAGGCGTTGACTTTCTTGTATTCAACACGTATATCTGGTGGATGAACACATTCGCCATGAAAGTCCTGTAAGTGTTGCTACTATACTATTGGCTGTATCGATATTGGCATGTGTTGTGACTTGAGATTGTGTAATTGATGAAAAAGCAGACGAGGATCGTTCGATAAAGGGGACACTGAGTACGAAGAGATCCCACGGCCAGTAGCGTACCAGAGAGTGTTAAGGACTTGGGGAGATTGGGTGGACCGCAATATAGATCCTCTACGTACCACTGTTTTCTTCGCCAGCATGTCTCCTCTCCACATCAAGTAACTAATCTCTTAACTCCCATTTAGACTTCACGTTAGATAGCTTGTGTCTTGCTTAGTTGCTTGATGAACTGATCGTAGCTAGTGATGCTTCGCTTGCAATATGAGACCACTGACAACTTGATAGGTTTTATCTAGTGGCGCCATTTCAGATGTGCCCTAACTTGCACACCAATCAACTACTAGAAAAGGAGATAACAAGTCCCTGTCTCTTGAAAACCCACAAACTTGAAACTACTCACAAATCATATCTAGTGATGCTTTGCTTGCAATATGAAACTACTCACAACTTGAACTTAGGTAGTGATCGTAGCTACTCACATGCGCCCTAACTTGAAAGCCACGCAACTACCAGAAAAGTAGATATTAAGTCATTTTTCTTTGAAAAGCCTACAACAGCATTAGCATAATGTTGATTTTTATATCATAGGAGCTTGGATTGGGAGAATCCAGATGGGATAAAGTGTGCATTGGAGACGACACCGATCCTAAACATGTCAATGCCATTCAGCGTAGGAACAGACTACAGGCTGTTTTCAGTAGCGGAAAACGTCACGCGTTCTCTTAAAGTTCCGGTTTACTTCCTCAACATTACAAGACTGTCTGAATACAGGAAAGATGCTCACACTTCGGTTCACACAATCCGACAAGGCAAAATGCTGACGCCGGAGCAACAAGCCGATCCCAACACTTATGCTGATTGTATCCATTGGTGTCTTCCTGGTTTACCTGATACGTGGAACGAGTTTCTTTACACACGTATTATTTCTCGTTCGTGACTTAAAAGATAACAAAAGAAAATGTTTTGGAATCTCTCTTTATAAAACTTTTCTTTCCTCGAAATGTTATTATTTTGATGTCATTATGTTCATAATTTTCTTTAATCGTAATTGTGAAATATTTTCTTTTTTTTTTCTTCTTCAAATGGTTTTTAGAGTGTCCATTAGGATGGAAATTTAAGGGTCTTTTTAACTGTTTTTGTACACTCGAGAACTTTAGGGTGAGGACTTTAGGGTGAGGTGGAAAGCAAAGGATGCCAAATGTTTTTTTTTTTTTTTTTGGGGGTCATTTAATTGTGTAAAATTTGCCCACATTCGATATGTTGTGTCCAAAAAGTTGAATCCATTTCTCGCTTTTCTTTTTTTGTTGGAAATGATAGTGCACTCATTTGGACACAATATAGAGGGTAGCTATCCTATCTCACAAAATTGATAAGAGGTTAAACAACCTTGATGGTAAAGATATTTTCTAAATGAACTTATTACTTTGAGTCAAGAGGTTTGTGAATAAGCCAGAGTAAAACATAACTAAACGCTTAAAATATCCCTTAGCCAAAATTGATTAAGCAACACCAGTTCTTAAAGAGAGTACAACAAGCATAAGAATAAGCAGCAGCAGCAGTTTATTAGAGATTACAGCCAAGAATAGCTTAAGCAGCAGCAGTTTCCAGAAGCTCCTGATCGAAATGCCATGTCCCTGAACACATAAAACAAAGTGTGAGCCATGAGGTGGACGAAACGAGGGATATGTTATTATTTATGTTAAAAATTGAGAAGACTAATGGTTACCATGTCCTTTGCCGAGTCTTCTGAGTTGAGAGACATATTCCGAGATTTTCTTGATTGCTTCAACCTGCACAAGTAATTGTTATTTTAACAGGCTTATTTATGTCTTCGCCACTAACATAGGACGTGTTCTTTTGTATGTTTGTTTACCTGTTCGGTCAAAAACACGCTCTCAATGAAATCTGCCAACTGGACATCATCATTCTTTGAAGCCACCTATTGTTCACATTATTCAAATGCAAACATTAGACTAAAAATGACTTGAATGCCATAAACAAGAATTGGATTCAAAGGAGTAATGGTCTTTACACTGTGCACGTTTAGGAGCTTTTCATTGACCAGTTTCTCCAATGATAGAGCCAGCTCCATGGCTGCAACAAAACAAAGAACATCATTCATCATTATTTTGCAAACAGCATACTCCGCAAAAGGGCATCCATTCCTGATTAAAAAGTAACAACCTTTCGAAAGCTAATATTATTGTCAACTCTAACAAGTAACTCCAAATTCTACAAGACACACATATGAAACTACTAATAGTGTCCCCTATTAATGAAAAGTCACAACTATTCCAAAGCTAATATTGATGTTAACTCTAACAAGTTTCTCGAAATTCTAGATGGCACAGATATGAAACTACTGATACTTTAAACTTGAATTCGTCAGAGCTTACCATAGAGAGCATCTCCTTTCTCAGCGTGATCAAACTCAGACTGAGGCATCACCATGGGCTGCAGCTTAACCCTCCCACCACGTTTGTTCTACAAGAACCAAAAAACAAACAGTGTCAGAAACTAAACCCAAATGATTAAAGTTATGAATGATTCAACACATTGGACAAGGACCTGATACTCCATCAACATCTCAGCGTGGTCACGTTCTTCCACACTCGAATCCTTAAAAAACCTGATAACAAACAAACGCATTAAATCAAAAACAAAAAGACACAAAACTTTAATAAAAACAATCTGAATATAAAAAAGACTCCGACACTCACTTGGCAAGACCTTTGAGAGCAACGTTGTCACGGTCGAAATAAGCGTACAGAGCATGATACACATACGACACGTTGTATTCCACACTGCATCAACAAAAAGAAACCATCAGATTACAAACAGGGAACGATTCAATCAAACACGAAAAGAACTAAAGAAGCTTACTTGATCTGCTCATTCACGGCAGCTTCGCACTCAGTTGAGTACATATGTCTCGCGAGAGAGATCTGCGGACTCGAAGGGACGAGATCGAGTTCCTTCTTCACCTCCACAAAGGGCTCGAAAACGACGCCGCTTAGTGGTTCCAAGGTGGAGGCGCGGACAGAGAAGGAGAGGTTTTTTCTCGAGGAGAAGAGAGGAGAGATGTCCTTCTTCACTCCGTGAACGTTCACGAGCGAGAAAGCAGAAGCTGATTTGAGAAGCATCTTTGAATCTCTCTCTCTCTCTCTGCAGCGAAGAATTGGGAAGGGAGAAGTGAAGGGTTTGTGTGGAGGCGACTTGTGGCGGAGAGGAGACTATAAAGCGAGGTTTTGTGGAGGTGACGCTATGGATTGTCGACACGTGTATGGATGAGATTGAGAGATGAGAGTAGGCGCGTGGTTGGCGTGTGGTGTCATTGCTTTGCTGGAAGATATTTTTGGTTTTGTATTGGTATTTGCGTGAATATGGGCCTACTGCTTTTCAGACCAATCTTTTCGGCTTTTTGCTGTAAAAAGGGAGAAGCAAATGCTGACAAAAAAGGCAGAAGCAAAATACGAATTTTCTTGGTGATAAATATAAGACTTTTATTTAGTTATGAATCATAACTAAATTGTATTTGTTTGAATAAACAGTTTTTAAAGTTAAACATTTTTATTAGTTGTTGTAAAATATAATTTTCTTACTAATTATTTTAAATCGTCAATATCTATTGCAACTTCAAAATAATAATATACATAGTTAGACTTATAGGTATATATAGTTGCCATATATCTTCTCTATTAAAAGAGAAGTACCATTTATATCTACTACAAAAAGTTATGTTGGACCATATCATTAATATGACATATTTAAGTATTTATATTAATCAATCAAATATATATAATTGGAGCAATGTTTTAATAATAATAAGATATTAGTAATAAATTTGTTGAGAAAATATCTAACAAGATCTTACTAGTTCTCTATTAAAAGAGAAGTACCATTTATATTTATTACAAAAAAATTATGTTGGACAATTTCATTAATATGACATATTTAATTATTTATATTAATCGATCAAATATATATAAATAGAGGAATATTTTAATTATTAATAAGATATTAGTAATAAATTTGTTGAGAAAATATCTAACAAGATCTTACTAAGACGTTTAAATATTTTTATAAAATACGTATTATTTAATTTCCTGATTAATATATATTAATATATGTATTAATGTTAATTAAATCAAAATTGTTATATTTTATAATTTAGTTATATTCTATATTATATTAAAATAAAATGCTATGTGAAATAAATATATTAAATTGGTAAGGGAAAATATTTTATTTTAAAAAATTTCTTTTATTCGAATAAATAAATAAATATCACTCACTTTTAAAACATATTAAAGTTTTTAAATCATATAATATTTTTATACAAAAATGTTAACATATATTTTTTTAATTTACAACAAATACATTATATAAAAAATTATATATGAATATTTTTATTTTAAAACTTACAACAATATATAATATAAAAATAATTAAAATTATAAGATTATATAATTATACAATATATAACAATAAAATGTAAATCATATATATTTGAAAGGGTTTGTTATATTTTTATAAAATGAAAGATACCCACACTAATGTGCGAGTTCAAAATTTAGTTTATGGTTTATTTCGATAAATTCTTCAAAATTTAGTTTATGGTTTATTTCGATAAATTCTCCCTAGGTTATTTCACTAGTCGTATATGTGTACTCAACTAAGATTTGTTTGAATGTCCAACAAAGGAAAAATAATGTATTTTGTGGTTGAGCTTCACACGTCCTAAAGATACAATGAGACCGGTCTACGTTAACGTCAGACCTGAAAGAGAGATTATGAAAACTCCATCCAAAAAAACCTACAACATTTTTTTTTTAAATTGTATGTATAAATTGGTAATGGATAATTTAGTTATATAATTATCTTCAATACCATGAAATTTATACTATTGTCAAATATGTTTCTATTATATGTAATACAATTAATTAATACAATATGAAGAATCTCTCATCTTGATTAAATTCATGAAAAGAAAAAATACTCCAATAACCTACTTAAAATATAAAACTCATTTTAAAAAAAAACATACTTAATAAATTTTTTTACGTGTAATAGTTGAAAACTGAAAATTGAATATCAATCTAGAATATTATTTTAATATATCTAGTGGTAAAATATTAATTGTAATAAACAAATTTTGAATTTTTTAATATTACATGAATTAGAAGTCTTTAAAATCGTTGAAAAAAGAAGTCTTTAAAATCTAAACTATATTTTATTATCATAATATATTTTTATTCATTTATTATTTTGACGTTACAAAATATTGCTTAAGTTTTATTTGTATATTAATTTGTTAATAATTTAGTTTCTTTTTAAGTAATTTTAAAATTATTAAGAATATAATATATTTTAAAGTATTTATTTAAATATATAAAAATATGATGTCTCATTTTTATGTGTGTTTGCGTTGAGCATATTTAATTTGTAGTTGTATATTTAATAACAACTTGTTGCGTGCCGTTCTATGGTTTTAATAAATGTGTTTTCATTTCATTTTTATTACTACTAACATGATTTTTAAGTGATCAGTGATAATGCACTTTTAACATTATGTATTATATTTTATCATATATTTTCTAACTCTTCATGCTGGCACCTTTTTGAATCAATTTAATTAAATAATAGGTTTAAAGATGTAAATAAAACTGTGTATATAGTAAATTTAGACTTTTTAGTGTAACTGAGCACTATCAATTATGGAAATTATATTATGATTTTATTTTACTAAATATTTATTTCTGTGTATTTTTTTGTATTTTTACATTTTTATTACCTTATTCTTTAATTGCAGAGAATTGCTATTTCCAATTTTGTACCTTGATTCGACCTTTTCTTTGTTATTATTTAAAGGATCTGGTATTTTTAGTAGTGTATATGATATTTGTAATGTTTACTATTTTGCTATAAAGAAAAAAAAAGTATCATGAAAATATTAGTGTGGCTGAAAATATTTATTACAAATACACAATATATTTTTATGATATATATTTTTAGTCATTCTTGAGTCTATATATGAAAAATTTATTTGCAAATAAGTTGTATGTTGCTGTTGTATATATCATGTATTCACTCTTTAATAATTTTATATTATATATTATTTGGACATCATTTCAATTACTTTCTTGAACTAATTTCTAACAATAACTCATTTTCTGAATTTTTTTTCTTGAATAAAAATATCATTTTCTCAAAACTTTCATTATGTTTTTGCTTTTCATTTTATTTTTTTCCTCAACACTGATTACACCATATTTTGTTTTGGATTCTTCAAGACAAAAAAAAAATATTTTATGACTCCACCCAGTTGTTATGATTCTGGGTCATATACCTTAAAATTATTCGGTTGATTTTTGTTTGTTTTCTTTCTCCAATTACAATGTACAGTTTGACCGTTTCGTTTTTTTTTTTTTGAATCAAACTACTAATATCATTAGATAGAAAAGCTTAAACTTCAAGAATTGAGTGAGTGTTTGTGCTAGAGAAAACTGATTAAGCCACTAATATAATGAAATATTATAATATTAGAAAGTGTGGTAACTCTTCTATGTTGTCCTAAGCTGTACATAATTAAGTTGTTGTCAATTGATTCTATATTTGTGATAATTGGAAATATATCTTTATGTCTTCCTTACATCATCCTTAATTGGTTTATGGTTCGACCATTTCTATTATATTAAGAGTAACACAATATTAGATGTTGATTATTTCCTTCCAATTAGGAATGTCACAGAATGAGAAAAATTCAAGGTGAGACCACTTTACAGTTTTGTCCTCATATCTATATAGAGTTAGTTTATAAATTACTCCATCTATTTCAAATGTAATCAGTTTTAATTAAAATTAGAGATTGACCCGCATGTCCGTGCGGGTATTGATTTTTACTTTTTTATAAATTAATATTTTTTTCTTACATGATTAGTATTAGATATCCTATATATATAATAATATAATTAATTATATAAATATTTAAATATTTTTATCGAACCCGGATCAAGTATGGTAATATGGTTAGTTTTGGTTATTTGATTATTTTAGGTTAAATTTAGTTTGAATTCAAAATATCCTAACTGAATCGGTTAATATTGTTACTTTTGGTACAAATATCCAAATCGACCTCAGATTCTTTAGTTTTTGGATATTTGTAGGTTCCTAATTATTAAAACTGAATTCTTCTTGACTTGTGAAGACCCGATTTGAAATATTTTTATAAATTAATTTTTTTTCTTTCATGATTAGTATTAGATATTTTATATGTATCATAATATAATTAATTGTATGAATATTTAAATATTTTAGGTTTCTATACATTAGAATCAAACTCGAATCAAATATGGTAATATGGTTAGTTTTAGTTATTTGGTTATTTTTAGGTTAAGTTTAGTTTGAATCCAAAATACCCAAACTAAATCGGTTAATATTGTTACATTTGGTACAAATATCCGGACATGCCTCAAATACATTAGTTTTTGGATATTTATAGGTTTTTATATATCAAAATTGAATTCTTCTTGACTTGTGAAAACCGATTTGAAATATCCACATGAAAAATTATAATACCGAATGAATTCTAGTTTCAAAACTCAAAAAACCTGATATCCAAAATAAATAACTCGTAGCTGAACATGTATTCGAATATCTATGTCTAACTGATTATGTAAACATATAAAAAAATTTGTTAACCATTTTAATTATTGTCACATATAGAGTCATTTCATTCAAATATGTCAAATTATTATAGTTAATATGTAAACTAAATGTTGTCGAATATTATAGTAAATATAATTAATGAAATAGTTAAAAAGTGAAAATGAATGTAAATAAAAAATAAAAAATTGAAAATAAATACGTTTTGTTTTGTAATTCTGTAATAAATGATATCAATTTATTTTGTAAAGATAATAAATGAAACTGTTAGAATTAATGAAAATAGAAAGAAATTCTGTAAAAAATCACTTAAATTAGGTAAGTATTATTGTTTTACTGCTATCCATGTTTCCAAACAATTTTTATTTAGTCTACTAATCTTGTTTCCAAACAACTTCAATATGTACTTCAATTTTAATAATATAGACTAGCTTTTGACCCGCGCGCCCGCGCGGGTGTTTATTCCTCATAATCATATGTTTTAAGCTTTTCAAAATGCGATAAATTTAATTATTAATGCTTTTTATGTTATAGATTCATATGTTATTTTGGATTGACATTGGTATGTCTTGTTTAGGGGTATTTAATCCGGTAGAACCGAAACAATGAAAACCGAACCGAATCGAAATAGAAAAAATGGTTTGAATTTGGTAGTACCGAATATACCGAATTGATGTCTTTTTAAGAAACCGCGGTATATGGATATGGTTTGGTATATAAACCGAGTAAACCGAATAAAGCGATCAATTAAAATATAGTGATATAATTATATGTAAATTATACAATGTAATTCATAATATATAAAATAATTTATTTAATTGATATGATATCCATACTTAAAATGTTGATTTTAATAATTTAATATTTTATTTAAAGTTAAAAATTACATTTTATTTTTATCAAATTTTACAAAGAAATACTTTTTTTTTGCTGACAAATATGTGTGCTAATATATTAGTTATTTAATAGTATTATAGATTACTGATATTTCTAATTTTTATTCTATAAAACTATAACTATTATTAACTTAATATGTTTACTAATTATTTAAATAGTAAAAAAATAAGAACAATTTATTCAAAAATTGAAATATTTTTCGTGTTATATTAAAGCCAATATCTAATTTTATAAAGTAAAATTCACAACATATTCTAAAATCTAAATATATTTTGTGATTTTTTGGCATAAAACCGAAGAAACCAAAAATCGACGGTATATAAACCGAACCAAACCAAAGTAGACCTTCAAAGCTTCCATCTTGAATCTTCAAAGCTCAAGAACACACGCCCAGATCTGCTTCAACCTGGCTCTGATACCATAATGTTTTAATTTAAAGAAGGTGTTAGATTTAATATGATATCTATTTTTTATAAACTGAAATACCAAAAAATCAAAAATACCAAAGCGAAACGATATCTTGATTAGACATCTCTAGTTTTGTTCAATGTGATTAGTCTTCACTTATAAGCTATGAGATTATTTTTTATTCAGTTTTATGTGTCTTCGTTGTTTTTCAGCTGTATTTTAGATTATCATTAGCAATTGATAAGAATGCTAATTGAGAAATTTGGGACAATGAATCAGGTTGTGAAAACCGATGTTGTCTCATCCTTTTAGATGTCTTTGCAGGTCACTATTAAATGCATGTGTGGCTAAAAGAGAAAAATGTTAACATCCTCCGATGTAGATGGTGCTCTAGGATTAAGGAACCTTGAGATACAAATTCGAGCATAATTTTTTTCTAGTTAAGTAATTAGTTTTCTAACTCTTAGATTTTTTTATTGAAATAATAAAAAATTCTCTTTTTCTCCTATAATCAACGAATGATACATTTAAGACATGAATAATTTCTCTACCAATGTGTAAAAGAGCTAACCTCTAATACTAAAGCTTCACAAAAGCTCTTTTTATTCTATTACATATCAACATATTCTTGTATTACTCTTGAAATGGAAAGTAAAATAAAAGAGTTAGAACAAAGGTGTTGATAATTAACACATAGTCACAGCCTCTCCATTACTCCTCTTCTTTGTGTTAATAAGTCTTTTGTGTTTCCAAACCGTAGCTGGTGATGCAGTAATCGCCGTTGGAAGCAAGACACACACTTGTGAATAAAAAGAAGCAAGAAAAACACTTGGTTATAGGATCAATGGCAAACTCAATACTCAATAACATTAAGCAAAGAAAGAAAAGATGCTCTCTACCATTCAGCCTTGAACTTCTTTGATGCTAAGCTTCAGATAAACTTGTGAAATGTCTAAAGATAATCAAAATTCTGAGCCATCAAAATTGAATAGCAGATAATAAAAACCAGATTCTTGTGTCCACTGGTAATAACTAAATCATCCAGGAAGAAACTATAAATGTAAGAAAACTAAACAAAGCAATCTCTCCTAATTTCATACATCTTCAAGCAAAGATCTTGTTTTTTTTCAAATCTTGATCAGATCAAGCTTAAGCTTCACCCCAACCCAGAATTGAATAGCTACGAAAAGACTCAACACTAATCTAAACAAACCTACTTTGAATTTTTTTTCCCGCAAACCCGTAATCTGTAGTTTTTTTCTGCGATTTAGGGAAATAAGTGATAACCTTTTACCAGCTTATGAGAGGAAGAAGAAGACAAAGGAGAAGAGAACTTGGGTATAGAATCATGATATTAGCCATCAGGATCTTTAGCTTCGACGTTACCAGTGTGATGAGAGCAAGAAGAAGAAGACGAAGGATTTCAATTAGGTTAAAAAACTATCCTGCTAATTCTACGCATAATTAGAGAATAATGATAATTTGAATTTACTTTTATTTATTAACCCAGTGGCATTCCCTTGTAATTTTTGTGTAAAACTTAGGGTTAACTACTAAATGTACTTCTGTTTTAATAGTTTAGATATGTAATATTTAAAAAATATTACCTTAGAAAACTGTCATTTAATATAAATTTAATCAATTACACATTAATTTACATAATTTAATTGACCACACAATATCCAGTATGTATAAATTTACATTGAAATATAAAAACGCGATCATTTACGTAGGCCACGCTTAGACCATCTCCAATGTATTCCTCTATTTTTTTCTTTAAAATAGAGGAATTTCATAATAAAGATGGATTTATCTCCAATGTATTTTTCTATTTTCTCTCCTGAAAAAGAATATTCTTGATATATTCTTTTCTAAGTTTACAAATGATACTTTTTATTTGTGAAAGTTGAAAACCAACCCAATTTATTTTAGTATTTTATAAAATGATGATATTTTTTACACTAAATATTTGTTTGCAAACTATTATGTAAATAAAAAATATAATTATATTTATATAAATAATATATTTCACTAATTTTGTGATATCACCTCTTGCTAACAGAAACCATGTATATTATTATCTACTGTAAAATTTCAAGTTTCTCAAAGGAAAGAAATAGCAGAAAAGGTCATTAGGGTTTCATTTCTCTCAGCACTGAATCTAATAAATCCACACAGCTTATGATATGTCGCACTTGTACTCAGTTTGTATCTCTTGCTCATTGAATTTACTAAATTGCTGTATCATCAATCATGTACACTATGGTTTCAGTGGCAAAAAAAACAAAGATTTCATCATAATCACCACATACAAAATATATACATCTTTCTCCACGATTAGATTTTCCAAAGTATGAAGACATACTCTATTTTCTTAGATTCTTCTCATGAGAAAAAGACCTGAATGCTAGAAGTTTTCAAAGACTGACAAACCGGACAAACACCAGTGAACACATCACAGTATTTACACAAACTCAAGTGCCTACAAGGCACAAGCAAGACTGAAACCTCCTTCACGTTACACGACTTGCATCTCATCCCACCTCTTGGCATCCCTTGGATGTTCATGTAGTTATATGAAACTGCCTCATCATCAATGTCGCTATCCCCATACCCTTCCTCCACTTGATGATGATCAGCTAATAAACCTCCTGCAATGTTGTTATTTCCATGCGACAACATCACTTGTTGCAGATTTATCTTCAAGGAATTAACCACAGATTTATTGTATGTTGCCCTGTAATGCCAGTTCTGAGATTCCACCGCCATTTGTTTTATCTTCTCCGCGAGTTTTCGGTTCTTCTTGTTCATATTTTAAATCTCTTGGTCTTTCTCTTGAAGCTTCTTCCACACATCCTTCTCTAAAGCCGCAACAAAATATCTGACATGTCTCTGTTTTATATCTTTCACACCCTTCGCCAGTTGATCCCCTTTTTCCAAAGAAGAAGATTGGATTAAATAGATATAAGAAATAACATAAAGCTTTGCAGATAGAATTAGTACCCTGAATTTGATATACTGACCAAGCTCGTTTTTCTGTCTATTGAAGTCCAATCTGATACTTTCACCGAGTGACTGAAACATAGGAGTTGTGATGCTTCAATTTGCAGAAGTTACAGAAGAGTTTCTCTCATCATTGCCATAAGAATAAGATAGTCTCAGACCAGTTGACACTAAGTTATGTTTTGAGGCCTCATTCCGAGTCATCAGAGCAAGGTTATCATTAGAAAATTATTTTATAGGATCAATAGGGCAACCAGCGTTCAATGTAACCACATACAAATGGAAAAATGCTTTTTTTAGCTTTATTATAAAGTTCCAAGCACCAGAAAAAAAAATTAAGAAACTTACTGGTTTCAAGCAAGTGAAGCTGATTCAGGGAAGTGTTTGATTGGTACTGAAACTGGCTATCATGCGGTAAAGGGTTGTCATTGTTCCCTCCCAACATCTTCTTTATTGCTAAAACCGTCAAAATTATTCAAGTGCTAAAGAAGAACCTGCAAAGAAATTACGCCAATAAGGTGAAACAGGTATGAAAACTTATAATTGTTATTTAGGACATACACAAAGGTTTTGACTGTCCTAAGCGATACATATTACAATCCAGCTAGAGATGAAACTCTATGCTTTCAAACCAAGGCCTGGAAATATTCAAAATACTAACTATTTATGATTGATGATTTGTTTATAAACACAGAGATAGTCAAACATATATACAGAGAATAAAGTTTTCCATCTTTGAATTTAAGTTTCTATGATCTCGCCTATTAAGTGGGGATACATGGACCAGATTTCATTAATTGGTTACTGGTCAAAGATTCATCTGAATGATAAAACTAAATAATCAAATCTCTCGAACATGGAAACAACATGGTAACTTTGAGTTAAAAATACTTTTTAAAGACTGCCTATCAAAAGATTAATCTAATTTACCAAATAAATTTTTCAATCTTAGCTAATCTTACACCTATTATCATCACCATACATAAAATAAAATAATGAATCACAGAGACGTTGAAAAGAGAAAATAATATTGATTCTTTTCGATCAATTATCTATTACTATAACGTATAGTTTCCCTCATTCTCCTTATGCCATGTCAGTATATATTCATCTGAGATCGACACGTGTCTAAAACACAATCTTCTCCCGCGCTTAATCATCCGGGCAGGCTTTATATCATCTTTCTTTCCAGCCCATTAGTCAAATATAACTTCATGAGTTTTTCTATTAGGCTCAGTATTGGGTTATTGTTCGAATTTTGTATGGTCCGGTTAATGTAGTTAGAGTTAGTGTTTGGGAACTTACGATCAAAAATTCTCGCCGTTTATGTTCTTCTTTGATTCGTCTTCCCGGAAAACGAAGAATCTCAAAACGTTACTGAATAATGCTTAATCCAAGCGTCATCTCTAAAACAATCATCCATCCCCTTTATCTCTTTCTCTAAATCTTCGAGTATAAAAAGGTAGACTCTCTACCGTGAAACTCATCAATTCAAACCTCTCGATCGGATAATTTTAAAATCCAGTGATAAAAGTAGCTAGCTCCGCTTTTCTCCTCTCCATTGTACCTCCACTGTCAAGATTCGCCTCCCTATTTCCGACGATACGATCATTGAGTCCCGTCGCAACCTCCCTTTGCGTAAGATCACTATCTACCAATTCATTATAATCCAGATAGTTTATACAAAAATTTTTCAGTCGTTCATGATCCTATTTAGTTATCTGGCGTGAGAAATTATGCTATTTTTCAGGGATTTTATAAATTCTTGCTAATAGATTCGTCACTGGAATTGCAAATTTGAGTTACTTTGACTGTGTTTCTTATTAATAGATACATGTTATAGGGTTGGTCAGTGTAAAAAAAGTGATTCATATGAGATGAAAAATGGATCACTGAGTTTGGTCCGAGCTCTATATTTATCTCCTCACATTCTGATGTTATTTTTTTTAACAGGAGCACTTATGTGTGAGATGGGGATGCTCATATGGATATCCAAGCAAAATTGATGAGCCAAGATTTGGATAAGCTGAGCCACTCTTTGTCGTTATTGCTACTTTACAAATCAGATAAAACAATTGTATAGGTATATTTATAGAATTATGTTAGTTTCAAGAGCTCTATCGATTTAAGCGGACTGAACTATGTTTGTGTCTTTCAGTTACATTGAAGCAGAGCAACCCCAACTTCAAACTTTCGGAAACTCCTCTGTTTATGTCTACCGCGGCTATGTCTCCGCTGCTCAAACCAAACGCTTCTTCACCAAGCTCATCGAAAAAGAGGTTTTGTTCCTATTTGCTTTGTGATCTTCTGAAAGATTCGTATCTGAATCCTATTGAATTCGTGTCTAAGAGAGTCATCAAGTCAAACTAAATATTACAAAGTGAGGAACACACATGGTCCGAATTTGAAAATTTTGGAAGTAGTGTACAGGTTTGATCATTGGTTTAGGTTATATAGTTGGATTTGAAATTCAGACTTTTTGATTAAAAGCAGAGTATTCACTTATTGATATGTGGTTTGATTGGCCAGGGTGATAAACATTCAAATGGGACCACTTGCATGTTTGTACAACATAGTAACGTTCAACTTATGATAGCGTCCAGGTAAAAATTTCATGATGCATGTCTTCTCTCCTTCCTTCACCGCATAGTCGATGTAAGTACATTCTTCAGCTTTGAAGGCTTACACATAAGTGTAATTTTTTAATCTGTTACATATGATGGTTAAGTGGTGAACTATATAGGTCTCAAGCTTTACTTTTATGAGTTAGAGGAAGAATTCATAAGGGATAACTTTGTCGTATTTTAAGTCTGCCACCTCATACTGTGAAGTTTTAAATACAGTATTCTATGGTGAAATTGATTTATGGTGATGACAGTATGTATTACTTGATGAGATGACAGACTTTAGTATTCTCAGTGAATCCACAGTGAATTCATCGACTGATGCATATAGAATGGAAGTTACGCATATGCCTCTTATAGCTGTCACAAGTCTTTTCCTTGAGGAGAGATGGAATACAGTACAAGAATTTGTTTTCGAGAGAAGAATGTTTTATCCTTCTTCTGTTTCAGTTTGTGAAATATAGCATCTGGCTTTATTGATCAACTGAAACCAAGATGAAACCAAGATTTGTTCTAGAAATATTTAAAAAAATGTAATCTTCTATATTTTGACGATTTAGTGCATGTTAATTAAGATTTCTTATACATTCATACTACTGTATTTGGAATTATTTATATTATACGCTAATACAATTTTTAACAATAAAAAAAGGGAGTTTCTACCAGATTAGTTTTCTTTAATTTATATAGATTGGGAAAAGTGATTAGGAAATTTAATAAAGCGTAGGAAAATCTACCCAAAAGTCATACCAAAATTAACAACAAAAAAAGAGAGAGAAAATTTCACTTATTTATCATCAAAATTATGATTAACAAGCTATTTATAGAAATTTAAGAATTATATTATTAAATTTATTTAATCTTAGCAAAATACAGCTGCAAAATAAGTATTATAAAAACAAACCTAAAATGAATAAAAAAAATACTTTGACAATAATTGAAATATATACAATATAAAACTAAATATTCAGGATTAAATACATATAAAGAATTTTGATTGTAGCTTTAATCCATTTAGTTGTATTTTTTGGGAATCAATTAAATTTGCTTTAAAACAAAAGTTATAAAAAATTCTAAATGAATTGAAACACTTCCACAATCCAACCAAATTCACTAATTTTATGCTGATATTGCTCATCACCTTATATATAATTTTTAACAAGTTAAAAAATCAATTTATATGACAAAAAGAAAGGAACGATTTAAAATAATTTTAAAGTTTTTAGCAACTTATATGCTCAAATATACATACGAAATAATACACATACAGAATAAATTAAAAATTAAACAAAAACTTCGGACGTAGTCCGAACCAATCCCAGCTGCTCTGCATCCAACTTCAGATGTTTGTGGGTTTACAACATGAGAAGCTAGACTTTTAATACAACATGTGTGATATTAGCTGTTTGTAGATTTTTTATTTCATTTATTTTTCAGAATTGTCAATTTTTTTTTTTTTTTTATCAATGTACTCTTGAGAATTGATTGACATATTAGCATTCAGTTTTATCAATATATTCTCAACCGTACAAAAAACAATATTAATATTAAATTCTTAAACGGTCTGTGATACGTGCATGTTTTCCATCAAAAATATTCAAAAAATGTAACTAGAATTTTAGTTCTAACAATTAGAAAGATGATAATAAATATTGACTATTATAATTTTGTAGCCTGTAGTGATTTTTGTAATATAATTTCAGAAATATTTAATATTATTGCCACATAAAAAAGTGATGTAGCAACTCATTAGATGGAATTAAACTTTTTTATGAGAGATTTTATTATTTGTTATTGTATCTAATTATAGACAATAAGCACAATCAAAATGAACCAATGCTACATGCCCATTTCACATGCCGCTACTACCAAAATCGCTTTTACTTTCTTAAAGGATATGATTCCACGAGGTTAAAGTAACAATACTAGCAGTTTATATTGTAATTTATTTGAATGTCAAAGCTACAATTACATGTTATCCTTACACCATGTGACACGTGTATCTCTTACAAACATATTAGAAACTTTATTTTTTTTTTATGATTTAGTCAACATATTTTTAGGTCCGAGATTCTGAAATAAAAAAAAATCCTAATAATTCCTTACTCGCAATGGAGGTTGAACTCAAAATCACATAGTTAAAAAAAGTCGCACATTATCCAATAATCCAACAACCACAAACTCAAAATTGAGATGGCGATATATAACGTTACAAACTCATAGTAACATAAAAGACAAAGATAAAAAGATAGATGCTGAACACACCATGGAGACATTCAAACAATAAAAGCAATAGTTACACACAAGTTTGTTTTCCCTCAAATCATCTAAATTATCTAACAATATATAGTGTTTTCAACAAAAAAAAAATCTCATCCATGATCAGAATATATAATAAGTTAATTATATATGCAATAAAAGTGTAAGAATTATACTATGCTAATTTCCAAGTACCATTTATTTTTCAAATTATAATCATGAGTTACTTAGATTATGTAATTTATTTTATTTTCAAACATAGTAGTAATATATATAAGATTCAACAAACATGTATAGTTTTAAATAGTAAAGATCACTATTAAATTTGTATGTACTCTACTTGACTTATATATATTTCCAGATAGAAGGGATTAAACTTTGGACTACTTATTACTTATGATTTCACTAAATTCATCGAAAATTTTTTAAAAACTAATTCTAACTATTACTATAGTCAAACGAAAACAAACCAAAGAATAATAATCTCCTATTAAACTTTTAATAATTAATAAGTTTACGATTTTTAATATAAATAATCAAATAAGTAGATAAATTATTTTCA